TTTATGCGGTTTAAAGTAAAAAAAAACACATTATTTTCCACATACTGTACATTATTGTTTCTCCTCTATGCCCCGCCTTCTGAAACGCGTTGATTTTTACAAAGCTCATCGGTCTGAAAAAGCGAAGGCATGACATACAACTTTACAGATCTTCTTTATGCACCAAGAGCTTGTAACACTCCAAAGAAAAAGGAAAAAATGAAATTGCATCATATGACCCCTTTAACCAATTAGTGGACTGAAGTCCAGATTTGGATCCACCGAACTGTAAAGATGCCTTAAGACACTTGCTTAAAGGTATATCCTTGTGAAAAAGAAGTATACTTTAGCATTCTTTTAGAGTACTTATTATGTAAGTAATATACTTTAAAAGAATATACTTAAAGGAACACTCCACTATTTTTGAAAATAGGCTCATTTTCCAACTCCCCTACAGTTAAAATATCACTTTATGATATATATATATATATATATATATATAATTTGTTTAAAAAATGTATCATACCTTCATGCAAGTCCTTCCCAACTAACACACAAAGTACCAGTTATGTGATTTATTGATACTACTTTTATTTAACACGTTGCATGCTCGTAGTTTCTTTTGCGCTTTAGTGAAATGATATACTGCGTGCGCCACCGCATTTGCGCGTGCAGTTGAAGAGTGTGTGCAAAGCACAGCATAATGTCTGACAGAGAAGGAATAATGTCGATAGAATAATGAGACTGACATTAAGCATGACAACATCTCATCTGACCGCAGATACTAAATCGGGACAGCACGTTTTTCTCAGACAGTCTTTAATTAAACTGCAAAAAAAAAGTGTCAACAGCTTTTACGCACATCTTTCAAAATAAAAGTCTCGCATCAGAAAAACATTTAGAATTATGTTTTTTGTTGTTTCTTTGACTGTACACTCCACGACCCACTCAGAACGGTCTTGCGACCCACTTTTGGGTCACAACCCACCAGTTGAGAAACACTGCTGTAAAGTATTGTTTATTGTTAGTTCATGATACCCAATGCATTAACTAATTTTAACAAATTGAACCAAAAGTGTTCACCATTAGCCTATTTCTTATTTGTGACCCTGGACCACAAAACCAGTCTTAAGTGTCAATTTTTCAGATTTATACATCTTCTGAAAGCTGAATAAATAAACTAAATTCCATTGATGTATGGTTTGTTATGATAGGACAATGTTTGGCTGAGATACAACTATTTGAAAATCTGGAATCTGAGGGTGAAAAAAAATCTAAATATTGAGAAAATCACATTTAAAGTTGTCCAAATGAAGTTCTTAGCAATGCATATTACTAATCAAAAATTAAGTTGTTTATATATTTACGGTGGGAAATTTACAAAATATCTTCATGAAACATGATCTTTACTTAATATCCTAATGATTTTTGGCATAAAAGAAAAATCTATAATTTTGACCCATACAATGTATTTTTGGCTATTGCTACAAATATACCCCAGCGACTTAAGACTGGTTTTGTGGTCCAGGGTCACATTTTGCTTTATATGGTTGCCTAAAAATCTGAAAAAATTCAAATAAAAATAGAGACTAGACTAGAAAAATGATCTTTTACAATATATAAAGGAGGGAAAGGACATGACCAGCAATGGCCTGGAATGTTCCCTTTACCTAATTGTTAAAATGATAATGGATGAATCTGAGATTAAATGTGATTTTCAGAGATCACATATGAAGAGAAGCCATCACTGTAAACGCATACATAAACCATCAGATTTGAGCATGTCTGAGTGATTTAGATCTTCAGAGTGTTATCTGTGACCTCTGATCCTAATTCAGCTCCATTTGCATCTCATACACATTGAGAGAGCGAGACAAACGTTCAGACTCCTGTCAGCATGGAGTTGTTCCTGCTTAACCGTTTCTCTTTTCTTGCCTCCATCCAAATCTTTTCTTCTCTGTACTTCTCCCTCATTCTCCTTTTAGTGTGCTGTAATCTCATACAATGAGCTTACCTGTACCCAATGAGATAGTCAATGCCTTTCTCTCTTCTAAAAACAGCTTGACTGGTCACGCTGGAGCCGCCACACTTCATTAACTACCACAGTTTGCCTTGCTGTGTGTGCGTGTGTGAAGGCAGAGAAAGGCAGACAGGTTGAGACAGCTTATATCTTTGATCTTTTGTTTGCTTTCTCTGTATTTCTCAGCACATCAGTTTTGTTAGAGAGGATGTGCTTAAATGCAGAGCTTTATTATCAGAGGTGATGATTCAAAACAACAGCATCTTTGATTTGACAGTTGGCAGGAAGCAATGTATTATTAATATTTGAATCCCTGTAGTGTTCAACCTATTTGTCTGGGTCCTGCTGTTGTGCTGTACAGAGTACTGAGTCATATATTCCATTATAAATATATAGGAAACTTCTACATTAACATTAATGTCCATAAAATGCATAATCCACCACATGAAATGAGGAACCACCACTGGTGTTATTATCAGTATTAAAGGGGTCATATGATGCTGCTAAAAAGAACATTATTTTGTGTATTTGGTGTAGTTCACCCGGAGGTCTACTTATAATGTTCTATAAGATTTTCTGCTACAAAATTGTCATAATTTGGATATTCATGAACATTGTTCTCACTTTCTCTGAAACCTCTCTAAATTAAAGAGGCTGTTTTGTGCTGTTGTACCTTTAAAATCTATATGTAAATTTCCTCTATGAAATGTGCTGTATAAAAGGCATATAAAAGGGAATGGTCTGTTAATATATATTAATCTGTTTAACGATAGTAGGTAGATTTTGTTTCTGAATGAATTATTTGAACAAAACAGTTGACTAAATAATTCAATGATTCACTCACTTGTTTTGTTCCTGAATGAATCAGTGTGTTTAAACAAATTTGCTGTGAATCACTTTGTTTGAATGAATCACTTAATTAAATAACTCACTGACTCAATCATAAAGACAGTCGCTTGTTTCCAAATACTGGTGTAGCGATGCAACCTGCAGAAGAAGTTGCAAAGCTCCCACCACAAATGCACAGACTGTCAGTCTGTCTGGAACAAACACAGATACAGTGAAAAGTCCTAGTGCTGCTGGACTGTGTATTATACTCAAATTCACTAATTTTAGCCAATCGAATCTGAAGACCAGAATAAACCTTTTGACTTCTGAAACTTACAGTATATTTTTTAAAGTACTTTAAACTCTTTTGGCTTCAGACTATGAAGGAAAATTCGGTTTCTTATGACCCTATTCAAGAGTCAAAAAGTGCTGAAAGATATTCACTCTTCAGACAGATTTCAGAGCAGCTCCACAGATTGTGCCATCAGTCAGGACAAGATTGGGTTACAGCAGAGTATTTCTTATCTTCATGAGGAGACCTTGATACCTTGAGCAAGAGGTCCTTAAGTCTGATAAGGACAAGTAAGGGGATAACGCTGAAGAGCTTGGAGACCACAATGGTGGAAAGAGATGGCAGGTGGCTGAAGGATACAACAAAGAAAGGAAATGGAGTTAACAGATTTTAAAGTGCCCTCAAAACAATCAGTGGAGTCAAAAAGAGTGAGTGAAGATGTTGTGTATGGGAAAGTCTGAGAAAACTGAGGGCATAAATTTGCTCCCAGGCAGATGGTGTCATACAGGGAGACTGCTTTCCGGAGACTGCATGGTCATGGCATGTTAGGGAATCAAAAATAGAGAGATACGCCCTCCTCAGCTGTTTGTTCATCACTAAAGTTGTCTATCAAGCCGTCTGTATAGTTTAGGGCAGATTGATTGTGTGTGTGAGTCTGAACTCTCTCTATTTCATTTCATTTAACCCTTTATTTAACCAGGCAAGTCATTAAGAACAGGTTCTTATTTACAATAACAGCTCTGACTTTCAGTTCTCACTTGTTTTCTTTCATTGCAGTCATTGTGGTAAATTATGGTTTCCATGTCAACTTTGGCTGGTTCCCACATGCTGACAAATGACCACAAGCAACATGCCCCATCTGGTTACATTTGAGTGAATCAAAGACATATTCTGGGGCTTTATATTGATTTTTGAAGACCCCAAGGAAGTCTATAATACCTGGAGGGATCTCAACAACAGTTGTTCGGCTAACACAGGACTCCCTGAAAGTTCATGATCTAAAATCTGCCATCATTGGGCATGGAAACTATGAAAGCCTTTGAGGCAAACACCTGAGACATAAAAGCCATCTGACTTTTATATCATATATATATGTGTGTGTGTGTGTGTGTATTTCACTATTTCTTTTAGAAGTCATCATCTAATTCTACAGGATTTCCAGGAGATGTTTCGCATTCTTTAACAGTCTGTCTTGAAACAAAGCTGATGTGATGCCAAATCCCCTTATAGAGGGAAAAAATCTATTGTGTTTAAAACTGTGACAATGAGCAATTAGGATCAACTAATTGGATTTTCAAAAGTATGTGAATTTCGCAGCGCCATTGTTGCGGTAAACTTGAACAATGTTCTTGAATGAATAATTTATTTAGATGAATTTGTCTGTTATCGTAGGGAAAATGTAAATTTTCACGCCCCTAAACATCACGTGGAACAAATCGAACTGTGATTGGTTGTTTTATATGTCAGCCAGTCCTCAGCCAATGAAAGCTGCTATGGAGTCCAGACCTTGTGCTGTCAGTCTGAAGGTCTGGCTACATGAGACTAGGGCTAACTGGACCAGGCATTGTTATACTATTATAGTTTTTGTTAATATTTTATTAAGTTAAGAACTTAACTTTTGTTAAGATTTTATTTTTATATTTTCTGTTTTCATTTTATTTTTAAAATTTTGTTCTGTGTAATTTTGCTATTATTTTTTATTAGATGTTGTATTTTTAAACATGTCAATATATTTTTTGTTTAATTTTAGTATGTTTAGTTTGTTATTTTAGTTCCTAAACTAAATGAAAATGTGGTTTTGGTTTTACCGATAATACCCCTGGTGCGATCTTGACCTCTCTGATCTTTAACCTCTGGTGTGTGTTTTTCACCTGTGTGCAGGTGTGTGGTTGAAAGCCACGCGGAGCTGTCGCATGAGAGAGAAGCGGGCAGACTTCGTAGCTGGCTGTCTCGGTGGACGGATCATCGCTGCGGGGGGACTCGGTAAGTAACTGCCGATGTTGAATAGATTATGCAAATAGGATCAACTGAGCTTAGAAAACCAGGAAAGAAATCTACAAAGCACAGCGCGAGGACTGTCATTTTTCAGAACAACCTGCGGCAGAAACGGCCTCATAATAAAATGCCATATCAAGCAAATGGATTCATTATGTCAGGTCTTTATGTGCAGCCATGAGTAAGTACTGTGCACTAATGTCACCTAGCAACAAGAATCTACCTCACAGTACACCATCTGCAACAATTACAGGCCACATCTCAACAACTTTACGAACTAAGCGACCTACCCTTAAGAAGTGATCAGCATAATTTGCACTGATTTTTTTAGTGTGTAGTTTGATCAGCATTCCCTTCATAAGCAGAACTTAATTTTAATTGGAAAGTCAAATAATCACATTTAGCCTCATTATGAAACAATGAATATGTGGAGTTGCTCAACGACAGCCTGTTCCATAGACTGACGTGTCTTCAAACAAAATGATTTGTTCATTTGGGTCTTTACGCTCCAATGAAAAAGCTCTGAATATCCGTCTCAAATACTGCCTTATTTCTTTCCAGTCTGTCTGTTTGTCTGTGGCTGCATTACTAGAGGGAGAGAGAGAGATTTCTTTAATAAATGTCAGCTCAAAGAGTGGGCGAGAAATTTCAGTGTCTTCTCAAAAAACGATATTTAGGGCAGAGCGTTGCAGATTAAACATGGCACATTTTTATTTCATCTTTTCCTATGTCTAGAAATAGACAGAATTTCAGGCATCACAGCAGTTGACAAACAGAGGATCTTCTGCACGAGACTTCAGAAATGGGAGGCGGATGCGTGTATGTGTGTGTGTTTTTGTACTTTCACAGCCATGCACGTGTGAAATTGAGCATTGTTATGTGTGGAAAGAGCAACTCTTATAGCGGCAAATCACTGATGCCTCACTGTAGCATGAGACAGGGGAGATGGAGGAGTACATGGTTCATCTAGCTGGTTAATTAAAGGAATATTCTGGGTTCAAAACAGGTTTAGCTTGAAAGTATCTGATATATACTGTCCATTAGCACAGATTATTATTTTAATGTGTCCCTTAAAACAAGCAAAATAAAAAATGTGTTTACAGTAATGCTCTTGCAATGGACATTTAAGGGGCAAGGCATGTATTTTTATTAAAGTGTTTTTTTTTATTAATCTGTACAGAAATCTGTTATTTAACCTGTTAAGATTTTTAGTGTTTTTGAAAGAAGTCTCTTAAGCTCACGAAGACTGCATTTATTTGATCAAATATTAAGTAAAACAGTAATATAGTGAAATGTTTTTTAACTATTTAAAATAACTGTTTTGTATTTGAATATATTTAAAAATGTCATTTATTCCTGTGATGCAAAGCTGAATTTTCAGCATCATTACTCCAGTCTTCAGTGTCACATGATCCTTCAGAAATCATTCTAATATGCTGATTTGCTGCTCCAGAAACATTTCTTATTATTTTCGATGTTGAAAACAGTTGTGCTGCTTGTGCTTTTTGTGGAAAACGTGATAAATTTTTTTCCAGGATCCTTTTATGAATAGAAAGTTTTTAAAAACAGCATTTATTTCACAAAGAAATCTTTGGTAACATTATAAATGCCTTAACTGTCACTTTGGATCAATTTAATGCATCCTTGGTGAATAAAAGTATTATTTAAAAAAAATTACTGACTCCAAACCCAAACATAAATATAAATAATTTTTACATTTGTATTGTTGTCATGTAAAATTACTTCTTATTTTAAAGAGTCCTTATCCCAAATTCTCTGGTCAATAGGAGTGAAAACCCTGCCATAGTTTTTGGAGCTTTTGTCACCATAGCCCATAATCAAAAAAACATGTATAAGTAGGTCTGTTTTTCAAAACACCTTCTTTAAATGGTTATGTTAGAATTTGAAATATTAAATATAAATTTCAAATTAATGTAATCTCATGTTGGCATGAATATGTTTAATTTTTTTGGTTACACTTTTTAAAAAAAAATTTTTTTAATGTTGATCCTACAGTGTAATGCCCTCCCCTACAAACTGACCACTGTGAAATCCATTGCTGTAAATATATAAGCTATCATATTTGTTGATGAACAAGTCGAAAAATATTTTCTGTGGAAAGAGAACTTGTATAGAATCCAGAACATTCCTTTAATACTAATGCAATTTGGACAAAGTTTACAAAGTGTGTTTTTCTTCTGGAGTGTGCTGTATGAGGAAAACATTGACACTAAATTATCAGACACTACAATTTTATAAATTCTTAATAAATCAACTGAGCAAATTTCCAAGATCGCTCAGCACATTCCAATGGAGGATTGTGTGTGTGTGTGTGTGTGTGTGTGTGTGTGTGTGAGCGTCTCCGTTATTCATTGCGTGAGAACATTCACATTTTAGCGTCGCACTACTTCTTCCTTCACCTGCTTGCACTATCCTCTCTTAGTTGTTGTCACCTCTTTCTACCCCGTCCCCCCTTCATGTCTTGTCTCGGTGCACGTTGCGGGTGTGTTTTTTCCTCCCTTCGTTTTTAGTGTCTCTGCTGTTGCTGTTCATCTTTTTATCTGGTGATTTTCTGAGCTATTTTTGTGTCTCTTTCTTAGTGCTTTAGTCTTTTTCCTCTGTTCTTTTTTTTAACAGGCATTGTTGGAAACTCAGGCCATACAGACTTATGCACACACAGAGAAATAATGACATAATTGGAGGAGATGCTCCATTCCCTGTAGCTCCTCATGTCTTTCTAGAATTAATGGCTGCTATTAGGTCCATATTGGAGATGTGGCATTCACTATGTAGTGAATGAGTCTATGGTTTTGTGCATTCTGTGCTTGACTGAGTAAAATGCCTCAGTTGCTTAATGTTCTCTCATGTGCCTTCTGAGTTTGGCACCGTGGCAAGATGTCATGACAGACAAAATTTCAGGTTTTTCCACCATCACTTTCCACTCTGACAAATGCTCTCAGTTGTAGCATGTGAAAGACTCTTGGCGTTGTGTTGATGTTCATGTCGTTACTATAGAAACGAACATAGATACTCAGGATATTTACAACACTGTCTGGACAAACGAATCAGAGTATGTGATAGAATCGCAGATGAATCTAACCTTTGCAAAACAGCTCCTACAAAACTGCTTTTACAAATATGTATTTGTGTGAACACCAAAGGGCCTGAGGATATGTAGCAACATGCACAAGCTCTCCACGCCAGCGCCAGAGCACAGCTCGACGTGACACTTTTGATTACTGCAAGCGGATTCGCCATAGTGTTTGTTCTACCAGGAAATTATGATAACAATAGTCACCGCACCAGTCCATTCATATCATCTGCACTTCAATTGGAGTAACCATGGAAACTTAGCGGCAGGTCCCATGTGATGATGTAGGTCTCAGCGCTGAAGGTAAAAGAGTGAAAAAAACCCAGCCTAATCTTACTGACCCTGGGGAAAATGAGAAAATGTTCGCTGTTCACTGCGACTGTAGTGTTTGTGCCACAATTTATCAGCGAAACTTTGTTTTTATTTTTTTATTTATTTATTTTGCAACATCAGAGCAAAAGTTTCTCCAAGCAGAAGCCACAGAATCTGTACGAGTTACATAATTTGAAGAAATCTGCATGCTGCCACCTGTTCAAACCTGCTTTAGTCCCAAAACCCACCAGGTGGCAAGTGCTTCATCTGCAAGAAACATCCGCAATGTGTGTGTGTGTGCAGTGAGAGGGAGAGCGCTGTGGATGCTGTATGCTAATGTAGAGAGGGTGATGTGTTGATTGAATGGCTGGAGAGGCTGTGTAATGTGCAGCGCTTCCTGCACACCTGCCTGTGATATACTAAATCTGGAAATATTTTCTTTAGGTTTTGACATGTGGACTGGGACACTCCTTTATTGTATTTGACTAACTTTTCATTCTGGACAGGCACAGTTTTCTGTGTTTTTCTTTGAAAATCACAAAGTTTAGGTGGGAAATATTGAGGAGTTTATCCTCCCTTTTTTAAATAGCCAATATTTTACATCACAGCCATGGATTATGATTTGCTACTTGCTAGCTAGATGTAGGTGGTATTCACATTTTGAGAGAGCATTTGATTGGATAAAAATTTGTGTAGTACAGGATGAGTCAACCGTATTTTTAATGCATGTTTTTAAAAGAGAAATACTGTTCGTTTTTAATGCGCATACCTGCTAAATTTTTTGTTTGTTTATATAATAAATATATAGTATTAGAATTATAAAAATTATATATTATATAATTTATATTATATGAAACATATTTATATTCAAATACACTATTTTCTGAAGTGTGCTGTATGCAGAAAATCTTGACACTAATGAAATTACAAATAAAATTTGTAAAATTTTTAATTTCTGAAATTAAATAATTGGCTTTTATTATTGACATTTTACTAAAGACATTTCTATTATATATGATTATATATATTATATTATATTTCTATAACTATATCTGAAAATATTTGTTAAATGTTGACAACGTGTTTTTTTTTCTAATAAGAAATAAAAAGGTGTGTGTGTGTATAGGGATGTCATGTTTTGATGAAATGGTAGTATTTAAAGAGATATGTAAAAATATATATATATATAATAATAATACTATATAAAACTTATTTAATATTACATATTAACATATTAACTTTAACAGCCATAAAAATACATTAAAAAAAATTTAAAAAACGCAGACCCTTAAACACTCCATAGTGGCCCCCTGGGGGTCCCTGGACCCCAGTTTGAAAACCTCTGCACTAGCATATATATGACTTCACAGCTAGGATACATAGTCTATGGTTGTATTAAATGAAAAGGCAACATTTAAAATATTTCATGGTTAATATCAGTGTAAGCCACTGATAAATTCGAATTGTCATGCATTTGCTACACAATTTTGAAACTTCAGTACATATCTCTGGGTTTTTGTATATTTGTGACAGTGCTTTGTTTCGTGTGCTTTCAGGTAACCAGCCATCCCCACTGGCATCAGTGGAGAGTTATAACCAGCTGAAGAGGAGATGGGAACCCGTGGCTCCGTTACCCAGCCCTCGCTGCTCCTGTGCCTCCATTCAGACCCCCAACATGCTGTTCCTCATCGGAGGGGTGTCCCAGGGTCCCAGCAACGCCGTGGAAGCCCTCTGTTTGAAAGAGACAGTCTGACACACACATACACACACTAATGAACAACTACACAAATCCTCACATGCTGTACTTTCCGGAGTGTAAGCTCTGCAAACACACACGAGCATACTGACGTCAAGTTGACGTGTATGTCTCCGACAAATATTCACAGACTTTCCCCTCAGAGGACGCATCAGCTTTATACTTTGAATAGTGGAGACAATCTACTGGAGCTTGGACAGCATTCCACACCCCTGGACAGAAGAGTTTTGGACTGGAGATCTAAAACAAGCAAAAAATACATAAATAGATCATTCATCTAACTAAAGATTTTTAGTGTTTTTGAAAGAAGTCTCTTAAGCTCACGAAGACTGCATTTATTTGATCAAATATTAAGTAAAACAGTAATATAGTGAAATGTTTTTTAACTATTTAAAATAACTGTTTTGTATTTGAATATATTTAAAAATGTCATTTATTCCTGTGATGCAAAGCTGAATTTTCAGCATCATTACTCCAGTCTTCAGTGTCACATGATCCTTCAGAAATCATTCTAATATGCTGATTTGCTGCTCCAGAAACATTTCTTATTATTTTCGATGTTGAAAACAGTTGTGCTGCTTGTGCTTTTTGTGGAAAACGTGATAAATTTTTTTCCAGGATCCTTTTATGAATAGAAAGTTTTTAAAAACAGCATTTATTTCACAAAGAAATCTTTGGTAACATTATAAATGCCTTAACTGTCACTTTGGATCAATTTAATGCATCCTTGGTGAATAAAAGTATTATTTAAAAAAAATTACTGACTCCAAACCCAAACATAAATATAAATAATTTTTACATTTGTATTGTTGTCATGTAAAATTACTTCTTATTTTAAAGAGTCCTTATCCCAAATTCTCTGGTCAATAGGAGTGAAAACCCTGCCATAGTTTTTGGAGCTTTTGTCACCATAGCCCATAATCAAAAAAACATGTATAAGTAGGTCTGTTTTTCAAAACACCTTCTTTAAATGGTTATGTTAGAATTTGAAATATTAAATATAAATTTCAAATTAATGTAATCTCATGTTGGCATGAATATGTTTAATTTTTTTGGTTACACTTTTTAAAAAAAAATTTTTTTAATGTTGATCCTACAGTGTAATGCCCTCCCCTACAAACTGACCACTGTGAAATCCATTGCTGTAAATATATAAGCTATCATATTTGTTGATGAACAAGTCGAAAAATATTTTCTGTGGAAAGAGAACTTGTATAGAATCCAGAACATTCCTTTAATACTAATGCAATTTGGACAAAGTTTACAAAGTGTGTTTTTCTTCTGGAGTGTGCTGTATGAGGAAAACATTGACACTAAATTATCAGACACTACAATTTTATAAATTCTTAATAAATCAACTGAGCAAATTTCCAAGATCGCTCAGCACATTCAACACAGGAAATGTGTTTGCAGCTCCAGTTCACATGCTGTGATATTCATATTTAATCAGAAGTTGTTTCTTCAGGGTAAGAGCTAATTAAATCTAGTCAATGTAGTTGCGATTCACGGCTCACATTGACTGTTTCTGAGTGACCCATTTACAGGGTGAGAGATGAACGCTCTCAGGGGACGTGGAGGAGGACAGAGGGCTCACTTCCTGTAATTTTTGATGAGATAAAACCCTTGACGTAGACCTCATACACCTCGTTTTTGCTTCACCGTTGCCCTGTGAGGGTCTTGTATTGCCCCCACTGATGATTTGACAAGGGTATCGGGTCACTGAGCTCATTTAGCATGCCGAAAAAAGAACTCATGCATGTCAGGAATTCACAATGCTTAGTGACAGGTTTGAATGCACTATATTCATGTGCATATTTGCTTTGAGAGGTCAGTGAGGGTTTGATTTATCTGGTCTGCGTGTGTTTGTATAAATATGTGCACCCACATACCGATTATCATCACGTTCTGGTCTCAGACGGTTTGCTGACCTGTTGTTATTGGGCGATATGGTGCCCGAGGGCATAATAAGATGTTCATACATATTCATACTGATCGTTGCTTGAGTGCAAATGGCTCTTTGTGTTTTTTTGTTTGGGATGGTGAGATTTGAATGTCAGTTTGGTTTACATGCAACATTAAAATGCCTCCTAGAAGCATTAGAATCAAAGGAACAACAAATACAATCCACATACTTGTTTTAGATATATGCCTCCCCCATGACTGTGATGTGTGCTGGCAGATAGTGATCATGTGCATTGTTTTAAAGTGGGAATAGACATATTTCTGCCTGTATGAAGCCATGAGACAACAGAGGACTGGAAGATATGTGACAATGCCAGGAGATGAGCTTTCTTATTTAATTTTATTTTCTTTTATCTTTGGTCTCATTAATGTAGGTTCTGCTGCAGGCTAATTTAAATAGGGAGTTTAATTTTCGCTTTGCTTTATGTGAGGTTAAATGTCACAGAGGTACAAATTTGAAACACCCTCCAGCACTGCAAGAGACGACAACGTGTGAATAGATGATCTGAGGGAAAGAGATAATGCCGAGAGAAATATACCTCTATTTTTTCTTGTCTTCGAATTCTGCAACATGACACATGACTCATCTTGGCAGAGTTTTTTTCGCTCGAGTCTCATTTCTGCTGCCTCTACGAAATGGAAACGCCGAACTACTATACTCTCACTGAAAAAATGTTGCAAGATGTTAAACAACCTGTTTTCTGAATTCATTTGACCACAATCTGAGCGCTGGCGAATGTGGGTGAAGTGAGCTCATATTTTCATATCTAGAGGTGCGAAATGTTTTACTCCATTTCAGAGGTGTCGTTCAGACCTCTCCACAGTGCTTTAAATTACTTTAGGGAATTCAAATTGTTGGACTCCGGGCTTTTTGTATTATTATATAAACATGTTCAAAAGCATTTCGTCTTTTACCCTTATTTGTATGTAAATCACTTTGGAGTAAACGCAGAGTATGATCACCTAAACTCTTAAGTAGCAGTTGTTTCGCAGTGATTTTTCATGTTTCTCCATGTTCTGAATATTCTCTGTGGTGGGTTGTTGAACTAAATGCAGTTTCTCCAGTGTTTCGTGGGTTAACCTGTTTGTTTTGTTGCTTTGTGAGGTGACAGGCTGTCATGTTGACTCGTAATCTGAGCAGCTGTTGAGATGGTCTGTTGTTTTTTTATGATGTTGTGCTGTCATGTGGTGTACTAGTGGTAGCTGATGGCCTCTGACAGTCTTCAACATGCAGTGCCAATACTATGGGCGCATTTCAGTTTCTGACTCATAATCTCCATAAGAAAATCAATCAAAATCCACATTATCTCATGCACTGCATAAACTCTAATCTAGATAGATAAGTCTCGGTTTTAGCCCTGAGCAGAAAATGCAATTTTAGTTCATGTTTTTCCACATCTGAAATATTGCCATGGAGGATTGTTTCACACTGAGGTAGATGAGCAGAGACACACGGTCGGCCCAGGGGAACTCGCAATGTCCCATGAGATTACACTGCACCCATCCACACAGCGAAAGCTGTTTTACCCTCTAGCGTACTGTTGTCGACCATGCACTGAATCAACCTCTGTTGTTACACTTTGAAAAAACAGGTAAATGTTATCCACGTTTATTCTGTGAAGAACTATGGGACTATAGATTTGATGTTGTATGAGCACTGTAGACATGAACCTGTGTGAGTTGGGACATTTATTCATAACTAGGTTATTGATGGCTGTTGGTTGAAGCTTTATGTAAAATGTTTTTGATTTGAAATCAATTTCATTTGCCTGGCTTAAAGGGATATTTCACCCAAAAAATTTTATTCTGGCATCATTTACTCACATCATTCTAAATCTGTATGACTGACAAAAGAAGGCATTTTGAAAGTCAATGGGGTCCAAAAAGTTTATTGTATTAAACAAAAAAACTCAGAGACATTTTTCAAATGATCTCCTTTTGTATTCCACAGAAGAAATTCCAAACAGATTTGGAATGATATGAGGGTGAGTAAATGATGACAGATTTTTTATTTTTGAGTGTACTATCCCTTTAAAGGTGCTGTAAGTGCTAGCATTTCACTATTTCTCTTTTTAAAAAAAAACTTAACCGTTAAAAGACACGAATGTGCTGTGTTTGTGATTAGCTAAAATAGTGCTGGAGCGCCCTGAATGTTTGTGTTTTTTGTTTACAGAATCTAGCGCTGTCACAGAGACTGGTGTGATTTCTCAGGACACCTATTTCAGTGATATCTGTCAGATTACAGTTACATTTATGTGTGGTATTCCTAGATTCCTAACTGCTTACAGCACCTTTAATAATGTCAGCAGGATGAAGAGTTAGAAAGCAATATATGAACTGCACAGAATATCTGTGAAATCTCTGGCACCGGTTAAATCCCCCATTGTATGTTATAGCAGAGATTCGAGCTGCACATCACATAGAGAACTTCACTTGAAACTTATAGATGGGTTAACATGGTCTGGATTTAAATCTGAATTGTGTTGAACCGTGTTGACACACAATTGCGAGTCCAGTTCAGTAGTTCAGTGCCTATATATGTGAGGTAGTGCCTCTACTGCGATTTCTGTAATAAACTCTTTGAACATTTCTATGTGATTCTGTGTGGTTCAATGTGTCTTCATTTAAAGGTAAGAATTCACATTACGTTCTTGCAGCGCAGCGAAATGAACAGTGAGATGCATCGCAATGTGCAAACAGGTATCTAGTGCATGTTTACATAATTGCAAGATGGCACAGCGTTAAGCAAAAACGTGTGAACCGGGCCGGCCCAAGGGAATTGTGATTTATTTTTTCTTTCTTTGCTGGTTTACAGAACAGAGATAAACGAATAATCTCAAAAATGTCACCTCCATTTATTTAGGATAAAGTACACGACCAGAACATCTTTAAAGGTCACGATAAACTCTTGGCAAGAGGGGATTCAAGATGTCTTGTATCTTGCCTCGCCTGTTGGGGTTTGATTTACGACTGAGGTCTGGCAGTTGTCTAAATGACAGTTTGATTTTGTGCTTTCCTCCAGCTCTTATCTTGTTGTAATATTAATAAATTAATTAAGCCATTTAAACAGGGTACTGTACCCTGTTTAAATGGCTTAAATATTTTACTGTTTCTATGCATAGGCAAGCTAGGCGGTCGCCTAGGGCGCCACCACCTGGAGGTGGCGCCAATGAGCACATGTACTGTCTGGCACTACATTTTAGCAGGGTTGTGATAAAGAGTGGTACGACCACCCTGAAATATGATTGCCGCCTCCACTGGATCCTCCAA